AAAAAAAAAAAACGTTTTCTCCCTCCCAAAAAAGGAAAAAACCCAACAAACAAACAAAAACCCAAGCTTACCTGCAACCGCAACCTCCCAACAGGCGGCTGCGCGTACGGAATACCGACGAAGGAGCTGTACTTGGCGCCCTCGGGAGACTGGTACCGCCGCCCCTGGAGCTCCCCCTGCTTCAGCCTCACCTGCGGGAACTCGCCGTAGTACTGCCACTGCACGATGCCGCCCTCGACTGTGGCTTGTAGGGCCAGGGCGGCCAGCAGGGCCACCGCGAGCATCTGGGAAAGGCGGGTGCGAGCAGTTGTAGAACTACAAGCTGTAGTAGTGGTGGTAGTAATAGTAGTAGTCATAGTAGTAGTACTAAATGGCAATAGTAGTCACAGTAATAGTACTAAATGGTAATAGTAGTCATAGTAATAGTACTAAATGGTAATAGCAGTCATAGTAATAGTACTAAATGGTAATAGCAGTCATAGTAATAGNCGAACGTAAAAAAAAAAAAAAAAAAAATGGACCCCTGAATGAACGAACGAGATTTAAAAAGGAAGAAAGAAGAATAGATAAAGTTGAGATTGAATGGTGGACAGAAGTTAGTGAAGAGAGACAGTGGAGGGGCAAGAATTAATGTTAAGATAGAGAGGATGGGGAGGTGAGGAGAGGAGGAGGAGGAGGAGGAGGAGGAGCGAGGAGGAGGGAGGAGGAGGAGGGAGAGGAGGAGGAGGAGGAGGAGGTTGAGGGAGAGCGCACGCGCAGGAGGAGGAGCTTATGGCAGGAGAGGAGGAGGAGGAAGAAAGAAGAGCTAAGGAGGTGGTGGTGGTAGAGCGATGCGAATGCAAGGAGGGTAAGAAGAGGTGGTGGTTCGGGGAGTGTAGGTCCGAGGACATCAGGAGGCAGAGAGGGAGGAGGAGGAGGAGGAGGTAGCGAGGAGGAAGGAGGAGGAGTGGTGGGGTTGTGGTGAGAGGAGGAGGAAGGAGGAGGTGGTGGTGGTGGGTTGTGGGTGGAGGAGGTATGGAGGAGGAGGAGGAGGGAGAGGTCAGGTAGGAGGTACTGGCGAGGAGGCAGGGAGAGGAGGAGGAAAGCGGAAGGACGCGGAAGGTAGGTGGGTCGGTGGTTTTCGTGGTGGAGGAGGAGGAGGAGGAGGTGGTGGTGGTTGTGGTGGTGGAGGAGAGGAAGGAGGAGGAGGTTGGTGGTGGCTGGTTGTGGTGGAGGAAGGAGGAGGAAGAGGAGGGGCCGGAGGAGGAAGGAGGAGGAAGAGGAGCCGAGGAGGGAGGGTGTGTGGCGTTGTGCGTGGAGGAAGGGAGGAGGAGGAGGTGGTGGTCGCTGTTTTTTGTGGTGGTAGGACGGAAGGATGAGTGAGGAGAGGACGGGAGGGAGATGTGGAGGAACGGGAGGGGAGGTGGGATAGGTGGTGGTTTTGTCGGTGGTGGTGGAGGTGGAGGAGGAGGAGATAGGTAGGAGGAGGAAGGGGAGGAGGGCAAGGATCAGAGGAGGAGGAGGAGGTTGGTGGTGGTGGTAGCGGTTTGTATTGTGGTGGTGTGTGGATGTGAGGAGGGAGGAGTGAGGCGAGCGAGGAGGTAGGAGGAGGAGAGGCAGGAGAGCGAGGGAGGTGGTGGTGGCCTGGTGGTGAGTGGTGGTGGTGAATGAATGGAGGACGGTCGGTAGCTGCCGGCTGGTTTGGTGGACACAGGGGAGGGAGGAGGAGGAGGAGGAGGCAGGAGGAGGGAGGAGGAGGGAGGAGGAGGGAGGTGGGCTGGCTTTGGTGACAGGCAGCGAGGAGCGAAGAAGGAGAGGAGGAGGCAGAACAGCAGGAGGAGGAGGTGGTGGGAGGAAAGGAGGAGGAGGTGAGGCTACGGCTGGTGGTGGAGCGCAGGTGGTGTGGTGGTGGACGGAGAGGCCAGGCAGGCCAGGAGGCAGTGAGGAGGTGCGTCGGAAGAAGAGGGAGGAGGTGGTGGTGGTAGAGGAAGGAAGGACGGAAGACAGATCGTGGTGAAGGTCGGAGATGGTGGTGCGTGGTGAGGAGGAAGGAGAAGGAAGAATAGAAGAGGAGGAGGAGCTGGAACATGCAGAAGAAACCAAAAATAGACCTGCCTCCACAAAAGAAAAATACCAAGAACAACAAAGAAGAGAACCAGATAGCGAAGGCAAAAAGAAAAGAAACTAAAAGGCCAAAAACTAACAATAAACCTTTGCAAAACAAAACAAGAGCGAACCACCACTTAAACAAAAAAAAACAGACAGCATGGGACACACAAATTATGAAAAAAACAAGAGGAAAACTTTTTAAAAAATAAAACTTAGAGAACTCCAAAAAAGGTGAAAAAATAAAATAAACCAAAAAACGACAACCTCGAACAGCGCAACACACAGAGATTACAATTCGTTACCTGCCGGGCGCGTCGTTACTGTCCTTGAACGAAGCGGAGTTGGATGATGGAGGAGCGAACGGAATGGCCAGGATTACGATTTAAGGCAGCGCCTTTGGCAAACCGGAAGGGAAGAAGTGGCGCTCGTGTACTGTTGTAGTACGCGTCTGTGTGGGTGAGGGTATTAGGCTCGAGTTCATCGGTTTAACAGTAGCAATTATCTCGGAGGAGAGCGTCGAGGGCGGGGTAGCATTCTCTCTCTCTCTCGAGGGTGTCCGGAGGGGACTCGACGCCCGACTCTCCTCCTTCTGCGTCGACGGAGAGAGCTTAAGCGTGGAGCATCGCGAGGCCGTCGAGGACAAGGTCGAATCTGGAGGAGAGGAAGAAGGAGAAGAATAAGAAGAAGGAGGAGGAAGAGGAGGAGGAGGAGGTCGAGGAGGTCGAATCTGGAGGAGAGGAAGAAGGAGAAGAATACATAAGAAGAAAGGAGGAGGAGGAGAGAGGAGGAAAGGAGGGAGAGAGTAAGAAGCAAAGGGGGAAGGAAGAGAGAAACGAGGAAGAAGAAGCAGAGGAGGGGGAAGAAGAAGGAAGGGAGGAGGAAGAAGAGGAGAAAGAGGAAGAAGAAGGAGGAGGAGGACAAGGTCGAATCTGGCGCGGCGAAGAGGCACAGGGTGAGTTTGGGGGAAAGGGAGAAGGGGAGGAGGAAGAGGGAGAGAAGAGGAAGGAGGAGGAACGGAAGGAGGAAGGAGGAGAAGGAAGGGAAGGGGAAGAAGAGAGGAGGAGAAGGAGGAGAGGAAAAAGAGGAAGAGGAAGAAGAAGCAGAGGAGGAAGAGGAAAAAAAGGGAGGGAGGAAGGAGAAGGAGAGGAAAGGAGACGAGAAGGAGGAGGAGGAGGAAGGAGGAGAAAAAGAGGAAGAAAAGAGAAAAGCAGAGGAAGGAAAGAAGGAAGAAGGGAAATCGTGCGGCGGGAAAGAGACACGAAGGTGAGTTTCGGGAAAAGGTGAGGGAATTGAGGGAGGAGAAAAAGGGGAAGAAAGAAGGAGAAAAAGGAAGAAAGTAAAAGAAGAAGAAAAAAAAGGCGGAGGAGGAAGAAGAAATAGAAAGGAGAAGAAGAAGCAGAGAAGGAAGAGGGAGAAGAGGAGGAGGGAGGAGGAAGAAGAGAGAGAAGGAAGAGGAAGAAGAAGAAAGGAGGAAGGAGGGAGAGAGGAGGAAGAGGGAAAGAGAGGAGGAGGAGGAAAGAAGAAGAGAAGGAAGAGGAAGAAGAGAAGAGGAGAAGAGGAGAAGAGGAAGAGGGAGAAAGAGGGTAAGAGACAGAAACTAGTGGCAGGAAGAAGGCGAGTTAAAAGAGGAAACAACGAGCGTTGAGAAAGGAGAGAAGGAAGAGAGAGGAGAGAGAGAAGAGGAAGAAGAGGAGGAGGGAAGAACAGGAAGAAGAAGCAGAGGAGGAAGAGGATGAGGAAGAAGAAGAAGAAGAAGAAGAGGAGAAGGAAGAAGAGACATGAAAATCTGGTGACGGGAACAGACAACATCACAGGAGAGTTTTGGGAATTAGGGAAGGAGAAGAAGAAGATGGAGAGAGGAAGAAGAAAGAAGAAAGAAGAAGAAGAGAAGATGGAGAAGAAGAAAGAAGAAGAAGAAAGAAGAAGATGGAGAGAGGAGGAAGAAGAAGAAGAAGAAAAAGAAAGAAGAGAAGAGGAGAAGGAGAGAGACATAAACCTGGTGACGGGAACAGACAACATCACAGGAGAATTTTGGGAAATTAGAGAAGGAGAAGAAGAAGATGGAGAGGAGGAAGAAAAAGAGAGAAGAGAAAGAAGAAAGAAGAAGAAGAAGAAGAAGATGGAGAGGAAGAAGAAGAAGAAGAAGAAGAAGAAGATGGAGAGAAAGGAAGAAGAAGAAGAAGAAGAAGAGAGAAGAAGGAGAAGGAAGAAAGAGACATGAAAATCTGGTGACGGGAACAGACAACATCACAGGAGATTTTGGGAATTAGGGAAGGAGAAGAAGGAAGATGGAGAGGAGGAAGAAAAGAAGAAGAAGAAAGAAGAAAAGAAGAAGATGGAGAAGAAGAAGAAGAAGAAGAAGAAGATGGAGAGGAAGAGGAAGAAGAAGAAGAAGAAGAAGAGAAGAAGAAAAAGAAGAAGAGCAGGATGAGGAGAAGGGAAGGGAGGGAAGCTAAGAAACAGGGTGATGGAAAAGGGTGGAGGAATTAAAGGAGGAGAAGAAGTAGATGAAGAAGAGGAAGGAGAAAGAAGAGGAAGAGAAGAGGGGAGGAGAAAGGCGAGGGGGAAGTAGAAAAGAAGGAGATGAGAATCTGTGGGAAAAAGGTGGACGAAAGAAGGAAGGAGAATAAGAAGAGGAAGAGAAGAAAAGCAAGAAGAAAAATAAACTGAAGAAAAACAAAAAAAAGAAAGAGATCAAGAGAAGTGGAGGACGAAGAATAGAATGAACAAAACAAGAACAAGAGGGAACAAAATACAAGAACAAGAACAAGAAGAAGGGCGGAAGAACGAGAAAAAAAAAGAAGAGAGAGAGAAGAGAGAGATAGATAGATAGAGAGATAGGGAGATAGATAGGATAGAGAGATAGATAGATAGACAGAATAGATAGGATAGATAGATAGATAATAGAGAGAGAGGGGAGAGAGAGGAGAGAGAGAGAGAGAAGAGAGAGAGAGAGAGAGAGAGAGAGAGAGAGAGAGAGAGAGAGAGAGAGAGAGAGAAAGAAAAAGAAAGAAAGAAAAAAAGAGACAGCGGAGAGGAGAGGAAGGAGAAAGACAGACAGAGAGACAGAGAGAGAGAGGAAGAGAAGAGAGAGAAAGAGAGAAGAGACAACACACACAAAATACATATGGTACGAAAACACATACCATCCGCGGCAGTGCAAAATGAGCGAATTGCTCGTGTAAAAAGAAAATTATA